CTCTCTCTCTCTCTCTCTCTCACACCTCTCCCACCACAACTAAGTTACCAAATCTTGGTCATTTTTCATTTTAAATATATTTTGAATTTGATTCATTTCTTTACTCCTATAAGACACTAGTAGTTTACACTCTTAATATCATTGATGCAATGAATGGTTTAGCTGATCAACATGTTCCATTTCATTCCATTTTTGTGTTGTGCAAAGAAAAATAGAAACCATCTCTGCCTTATTGATCATATTGGTGGCTGGGCTGCCTTATTCTCATGTTAGGGGAATCTTGTAGATAAAATGTCTAGAGGGTGACCCAAAATAAATATATTCTCATTTGGCATAATGTGGTGTTCTAGAGATGCAACTCTGTCCATTCTGTTATTTTCCCATCTTTAACAAAAGCCATCCAATGTTATTGCAGAAGGAGAAGTAGCCTGGGGAACCCAGTTTCAACTACCTAGGTGTGGAAGCAACGTGGCACTCATCGTGTTTATATGCATCCTACCAAAGCTGTGAGTGAGTCTGGACACCAGATAGCATGGGGAACCCTGACAAGCATGGAGAGAACTAAGGAATGAGAACTCTCCTTCCTCACACTAGCAGTTGGTTTCTCCAGTGAGCCCACACTGCAGTGAAGTGGTTCTCAAAAACAGACCTGACACTTGTTTCAGATGGCTCCGCTTAAAAGCTCTGAGAAAGTGCTTCTCGATCTGGCCTCACCACGTCTTCAGTGTTGTTCTTAGGGATTTTAGGTGTGTCACATTCCATTAATGCGCCTCTGTGTCATTTATCTGCTTATGGTGTTCTTGAAATCTCATCTTCTGGCATAGCTTCCTTTTCTAACAACCTACTATTCCTTGTCTCAGGTCAACCATATCCTTCAAGATGAATTCTCTGCTCTAGACTGAATTTAGATTTAGCATTTTGAGGCTCAATGCATTTCCCTGACTGCACTTACCTGCCATTATCTGCTTTTCCTTTATCTCCTCTTTGGACCCAGAGGATTTAAGAACAGGGCCGTGATTCTAAGGACAGAGCTCTCAGACTCCCCAGGACTTGACAGTGATTAGCACTGCACACAGCCATGATTTGCTGGAGGAATGCCCCTATTGGCCCCATGACTCGCCTGTGTATCTTCTTTGGGATGTCTCTGTCTTCATTTCTGATCTGTCTTCAGCTTCTTTAATTGACAGCCACTGATGTAAGATGACATGAATTTGATTGAGCTCAGGTTGGTTTGCTGGGACTTTTTACTGTGACTATGAAATAAACTGGAGGGCTATGCTTGAAAACAAGCGGGTAAAATGTGAACAAGCAAGCTCGGGTGAACAGGCAGTGGTTGCCTGTTTTGTGCATTTGGTCACGAAAACCATTGGCTCAGTGAACTACTGCTCCCAGGGTAGCCAGGCTCCTAACAGTTTCTGCTCCCATTCCTCCTCTGCATCTGGCAGCTTCCTTGGAAGAGGCAGGGGTGGAAGAGTGACTTCTGGCCATCCAGACATTGCACTGTTTATCACAGCTCATATGAAA